GTTGAGGTCCTCGGAGCCCGTGCGGCGAGCAGCGTTGGTGTTGGGGATGGAGTCGAGGTACAGGTAGTTAATGCCCTTGATGATGAGCCCGGTGCAGTTGCACTGGCCAATGTTGTTGGGGTCCTGGTCGCGGCAGCCGCACATGGTCTCGTTCATGGGCTGGCCCACACCGCGCGAGTCATCCGCCTGCAGAAGAGTAAAAGGAGGGGGAAGGAGAGGACGGGGGAGCCGAAGATGGGAGGGATATGTTGTGAGATGCAACATTCACGGTGGCGTGAGCGAGGCAAGAAAGACAAGACGGAAGGTTACAGATGCAAGTCAAGCAGACGATGCAAGACATGCACAAGGGTACACGCACACGCACCCGCACACACACGCACCCGCACACACACACACACACGCACACGCACACGTACACACACTCTCACGCACTCTCTCTCGCGCGCGCGCACCGCCGCCATCGGTACAACCACCACTACAACCCCCCCCCACCACTACAACCACCCACCACAACAACCACCCACCACTACAACCACCACCATCATGATGGTTACCTGCGTGCGACGGTGCACCATGAGCTCGAGCGAGCCGCTGGCGAGGGACGCGCCGCCAAGCGAGCGGTCGACAGCAACAGAGAAGCCGACGTTCTTCGCCTTGTCTTCAAGCGCCATCAGCGCGTTGACGGGGTAGTAGTTGCCTGCAGCGGGCTCCGAGATCTGGTAGGGGTTCGGGTAGGCCGGCCCGCGCTTGTTGTACACGCGCTCAACCATCTCGCGGGCATTGGAGTCCGTGAAGAAGTGGCCGTTGGTGCTGAGCGTGGTGTTGTAGCGCAGCACAACCTCCTTGCCCTGCAGGTAGGGCGAGCCGCCCTCGAAGTTGGCCTGCGGGATGGGCCCAACGGTGTACTCAACCTCGATGCGGTCAACGCCGCTAATCAGGCGCACAATGAGCGTGGCCCAGTTGGCGTACGTGATGTACACCTCGCTCACAAGCGGGCCCGTGCTGGCCGTGATCTTGGGCGCGCGCGTGCAGTTGCCGTCCGTGCATGCCGCAGGCCACACCATGCTGTTGTTGGGGCGGAAGATGTACGCGCCAGACTTCTGCCCATCGCAGCCAAAGCCGGAGTCGCCAATGTTCACAGCGTCATCCATGCCGTACTCGTATTCCTCGCGGCGCACGCGCGCCTGCTTCGGGTGCTCAAGCTCCTCGTTCTCCGCCCACGTGCCGACGCCGTACGTGCAGCCGCCGAGCGACGAGTTGTAGAAGCCAATGTCGATTGCCACGCGCTCCGTGACGTTGGTCTTGAGGTTGCGCACGCTGGCGGTGGCGTCGGGTCCGTCAAAGCTCAGCTCGTAGTACTCGTTGGCGATGCGCACAGCAGAGAACGGCGACGCAAACTGCACAGCCGGTACCGGCGGTGGCGGTGGTGGTGGTGGTGTTGAATGAAAGGTGAAAATATCAACCAAGCACGCGTAGCGAGCACGCCTTGCTGACAAAGGAATGCACACGTGCAAACAATGCAAACAATGCACACACGTACGCACATACACACACGTACGCACACACACACACACGCACACGCACACGCACACACACACACGTACGCACACACACACACACACTACAACATCCGGTCACGCAGCTGCTTTTGAACGGACCGTGGAAGCGGATGCGGCTGCCTCGTTGACGAGCTCGCTGCCAGTGGAGATGGTGAACGTCTCATAACCAACGGCGGGGACATCGGCAACAAACGTGACGACGTGCGTGGCGTTGTTGGTGAACTCTGCCACGCGCTGCTTGTTGTCCATCTCCTGGAACTGCAGGTAGGCCTTGGAGAGCCCAATCTCGCGGTCGGTGAGCGGCACCACCTGGCTGGGCACGGCCTTGCCTGTGCTGGAGACAACGGATGCGTGGGAGGAGGCAATGGGCACGCGGAACACCTGCTTCGAGCGCTGGCCCTGCGGGTTGTATGCAATCATGGAGAACTCCGCTGCGTCTGTCGTGAAGGGGCAGAAGGAGATGTTGAGGCCGCGCTCCGTGTTGCAGAACTGCGCGTCCTTCATGCCCGCGAGGCGGTCAAACACCTGCGCCACCATGCCGCGTGTCTCCTGCTCGCCACCAGCAATGCGCAGCGAGTAGTCGTCGGCAACAGCCTGCTTCTCCGTGCCGCTCAGTCCGTCGTGGTGCGTCGACACAGCAATCGCAGCCTCCAGGTTGTCCGTGCTAACGTGGGGGTAGTGGTGGTGGTAGTGGTGGTGGTGGCGGTGGTGGTGGCGATAGGAGGGAGGGAGGGTGTATGTATGGTGAAAGGAAGGAAGAGGTGAAGAAGGGTGAAGGGAGGGCGAGGGGTGGGGAAGAAAGATGGATGACCGTGCAAGTTTGCTCGCACAGGCAACCAACAAACTAAACTGCTGAAACTCTCAGACGATGAAGCACATATCCATGCGCAAGTCCAAATGATCACACAAGCGCAAGTGCGCGCGCTCACCAGACGGTTTGGGTGTACGTGGTGGAGGTGCATGTGGAGGTGTTGGTGAGGAGGGCGAGCTGGCGGGAGGACGTCAGCAGGTTCGACATGACGCGAAGATACTTCTTAAGGCTCTGGCGGCTCGTGAAGTAGCCTGACGGAAGGGCGTGGCGGTGGTCGTGGGTGAGAACGAAGAATAGGGAGAAGGTGTGCGTGTGTGTGTGTGTGTGCGTGTGTGTGTGTGTGTGTGTGTGTGTGTGTGTGTATGTGTGCGTGTGTGCGTATGTGTGTGAGTGTGCACGTGTGTACGTGTGTGGGTGCGTGTGGGTGTGTGTGTGGGTGTGTGTGTGTACGTGTGTACGTGTGTGTGTGTACGTGTGTACGTGTGTGTGCGTGTGTACGTGTGTGGGTGTTCACTTCTGCTTCAGGGCATGTGTGAATGCCAACACCACCACGTGACCGCCAGCACTGACCGCTCCAGTAGTGGTGGGCGTTGTCTGCGAGCGGCATGACGTCATCGTAGCGCGCCTCCCACTTGAGCCCGGCCTTGTGCTTCCATTTCGTGTAGATGCTGCACCGTGACATGCCGGGTGTATGTTTGTGTGTTTGTGTGGTTGTGTGTGTTTGTGTGTGTTTGTGTGTTTTTGTGTGTGTGTGTGTGTGTGTGTGTGTGTGTGTGTGTGTGTGTGTGTGTGTACAAGAGAGTGAGGTTTATGTCGCGGTTGCATGTGTGTGTGTGAATGTGAGGGTTGGGAGACGCATGATGCTGAAGAGTGCGAGTCCATGAACACACGCTACACCGATAGGCACGAGCAGACACGCTGTCTTGTGCTGTCACGTGAGGACGCACGTTGGTGTGGAGTAGAAGGCGTTGACAGTGCCGTTCTTGTTGATGTGGTGGATCAGCTTGTCAAGGTTGTTGTACCTGGCACAGGCGAGAGAGAGAGAGAGGCACAAGTTGGAAGTGAGCGAATGCAGATGCAAACTGAACACGAGAGGCATACTGCTCCACGCCCACATGACACAAGGCATGCGCTCAGGGTAAAAAAAGTCTGCGCACACACGCACACGCACACACCAGTGGTCTGCGTTCTGATAGTTGAAGTCTGATCCCATGGCCCACATGATGTGCTCCGTGCGCATGTGTTGCGCCTGGTCCTTTGCGGCAGAGATGAACGTCTCCACAAACGAGTCCAGGTTGAAGTCGTGCAGGCGAGGGTCGTCTTGCACCTGCTCGTGTGTGTGTGTGTGTGTGTGTGTGTGTGTGTGTGTGTGTGTGTGTATGTGTATGTATGTGTGTGTGTGTGTTTGCATGAGAAGGGTGGGTGTTCAAACAAACAAGCAAGGATTGCAAATCGTGGTCTTGCCCACCAACACCATGAACACCACCAACACCACCAGCACCATGAACACCACCAACACCATGAACACCACCACCAACACCACCACCAAATACAACTAGCACTGACACAAACCTGGTTGTCGCTGCCATCAAAGTCGAGGCCGTTGGGAGCGCCATAACCGCCGCCGCCGCCGCCGTACAGCTCGCCGGTGAACGTCTAACCACCACCAATAGAAGGTGAGTGAGCGTGTCAGTCATGTGTAATGCGCAGCTTAAGTAAGAAATGTGCAAACAATAAACCTGTTACCCGGTCGCATGCACACACACACACACATACGCACACCACGCACAAAAACAATCACAGACACACTAGCAGCGAGAACACAAGCGACAACCGCCACCAGCACAACGCTCCCACGCAACCGACCTGGAACTCGCTTCCGAATGTCTTTGACCCCTGCCAGACCCACTCCAGGGAGCGGGGAACATCTGGAGCAACCATGGACGACAGGTTCTTGCGCATGTTGAAGTCCTGGTTGTCCATGCGTCCAAAGTAGAGGTACTGCAGGCCAGCGTACTGCCCAATCAGCCACGCTTGCGTGTTGGTGTGGCCAAACGGGTCAATCTAAAGTGGGGGTAGGTGTGTGTGTGTGTGTGGTGGTGGTGGTGGTGGTGGTGTGTGTGTGTGTGCGTGTGAGAGAGAAAAACACATGCACATGCGTGTTGTACGGCTTTCAGCTTCCATCCCGCTCCACCCCAGCCACAAACGCACGCAAACACAAGCGCGCGTCGACTGCGCACCTGCCAAGTGCCGTTTGGAGCGATGCCAAAGTTCTTCTTGAGGAAGAGGTGACCGCGCGCCGTGTTCTCAACCATCTCAACATAGTGCGGGCCCGCCTGTCATGAGGGTGATGATGGTGATGTAGGTAGTGGTGATGGTGGTGGAGGTCGTGGTCGTGGTGGTGGAGGTTAGTGGTGCAGGAGGGCAGTGTGGCGGTGTAGAAGGCTGATGTGAGGGTGGTGTAGGGCGGACATTGCACGGACCACTTGCTATGTGCCAGTCGCAAACACGCCTATTTCCCCCCAACAACGCAACACAAGGCAAACCACACCACCACCACCACCACCACCACCACCATGATCCGATATGCTACCTCGTCGTGCATGCACCAGCCGCCGTTGACGAACTCGAGCTGCCCGTTGGCGACGAGCTTTGCAAACCGCTTCTTCGTCTCCTCGTTCCGCTGAATCCACCTGTGTGTGTGTGTGGGTGGGTGTGGGTGTGTGTGTGTGTGCGTGTTTGTGTGTGTGTGTGTGTGTGTGTGTGTGTGTGTGTGTGTGTGTGTGTGTGTGTGTGTGCGTATTATTCGATCGTGCATCATATTGTCTTGTGGATGGTGGGGTTGTGCCCTATTCGACATCACCAGCAGCAGACCACAAGGCACCACGACGCACCAGCGCTCGAAGAAGCCCGTCTCGACGTAGATGAACTTGCGATCGGGGTTCTCCTCCAGACTACCACACCAGGGCACAAGGAAAAAACGCAGGCATGCCAACATGCAGGCATGTCAGTTAAACATGGAATTGAACAAGCCACACGCGGCAAATATTGCATCGTCATCGTGAAACAGGAACTCGCCCATTCAGCGCAAGGAAACAGACCGGGTCATGACGGTGTCCAGGATGTAGTTGACAGCAGTGGTGTAGTACCTATGATGCAAACACGATGGAGCGCAATGCAACACAATGCAAAGGTGAGAAAAAATGGAGAGATCAGGGACATGCTGCGGTCAGCACACCACATCATCCAAGCGACGACGACGGCGACTCTACTCACTGGTCAACGGTGATGAGCCAGCCTTTGGAAAGGCGCGTCAAGACCCGGTTCAGGGCGGGCGGATGGACGAGGTTCGAGTGCGTATTATGAAAGGGTGATGTGGATGAGTTTGAGCGGAGCAACACTGGACTGAACAAAACCAGTTGGGCAAGGCAGTCAAACAAGATCAACACATTCCTCGCTGTTGAAGTGCACGTACCCTGCAATGTACAAAGCAGTGCGCATTGATGTGGTTGAGGGAGTGTGTGAGTCAGTGAGTGGATGTGAGTGTGTGTGTGTGTGTGTTTGTGTGTGTGTGTGTGAGTGGATGTGAGTGTGTGTGTGTGTGTGTTTGTTTGTGTGTGTGTGTGTGTGTTTGTGTGTGTGTGAGTGTTGTGTGTGAGTGTGTTTGTGTGTGTGTTTGTGTGAGTGTGAGTTACGAGTGAAACAAAAGGAAAGGCTTCCCACGGGCAAGGACGTACGGTGTCATCGTGGGTGTGGGGAACCAGGTGAACGTTGATCTTGCCCTCGACTGGGCCAGAGGTGGTGTTGTACTCGCCCCAGTACTCGCTGCTGGTGAACTGTCATGGAACAAAACATTTCACGACACAACAGCGTGATCAGCGTGATCAGCGTGATCAGCGTGATCAATGTGCTTCTCTCCTGCACTCGTTCAATCACACACGCGCACACACACACACACACACGCGCGCGCACACACACACACACACACACACACACACACACACACACACACACACACACACACACACACACACACACACACACACACACACACACGAACGCACCTTGGCATCAGCCGCGAGCGTAGCCAGGGCCACAAGACCCACAACCGCAACCACAAACGCCTTCAGCATCTCGGCCTTGTTTGTGTTTCGCCAGTGAAGGTGGAAATAAATGGGATGATTTTCGATAAATGTCCCAATGACAGAAAAGCTTCATTTGTCTTCGTCGAACTTGATTTGCCGCGCAGAAAAAGTTTCGCGCCAAAACAAGACTGCGCAAACCACACAAGCACAGATACAAGCACGCACACACGCACGAGACGAGCAGCGATGGACACGTTCAAGGCGCGGCTTGCAGGGTCTGATCTCAACGACCACGTGGATGAGACGGTGGTGCTGGTGGGCGAGGTGCTGAGCCACGACGGCTCCACCGTGGTGGACATGCAGGCAGCAGACGGATCAAACGTGCGCGTCATCTTCGACGCCGCAGTGGTGAGAGTGCGTGTGTGTGTCTGTGTGTGTGTGTGTCTGTGTGCGTGTCTGCGTGTGTGCTTGCTTGTGTGTGTGTGTGTGTGTGTGTGTGTGTGTGTGTGTGTACGTGTGCTTGCTTGTGTGTCTGTGTGTGTGTGGATCTGTGTATACTTGTCTCTTTGTGTCTCTTTCACCCTCACCCTCCCCCTCTTCCTCTCTCCCTCTCTCCCTCTCCCACTCTCCATCTCTCTTCCCCTCTCCGTCTCTCTTGTCTCAACCCACACAATGGCAGAGCGACTTGACCAAGTGCATTGAGGTGACCGGCAAGGTGAACGCGGACGGTACAATGACTGGCTGGACCATGTCCAACTTTGGCGACAACTTTGGTGAGTGTGATGTGTGTTTGAGAGAGAGTGTGTGTGAGTGCAGTGCGTGCGACAGCCATGTTGTGTCTGTGGGCGATGTAGACGCTTGCGCTGTCACCCGTGTTGTTCTCACCCGCTTGCTCACTGCTTCCGCTCTCTTGCCCATCTTGTATTCACACACACACACATGCACGTGCACGTGCACGTGAATACGCAGATCTGAAGAAGTATGGTGAGGCACTGAAGGTGATGGATGCACACAGGGGCATCTTCCAGGGCTGAACCGCCCACAC